CCCCAAAGTAGGATTACAGCTCCGGTTACTGCCTCCCAAGGACATGGTGAGGATCAAAATGAGAAGGTATGGCAAAGAACTTTGCAAACTGTAAAGCACCATATAAATGTAAAGTTTTGTTTTCGAGCATCTATTGTGTTCTCCATTAAATAGGGTGGAATTGGATCACAAGAGTGGGTGGAGTTCAAAATTCATAGCTAAGGTGAAAGCTCCTTTGGCAACAAGCTTAACAATTCCAAGTAGTCTTGTCAGCATCCAAGTAAAACTCTTCCTTAACACAGATCTGATTCAAGACAGACACTTGAGAGTCAGTCTACAGGTGAAGAGAGAAGCAAGCAGTACCAGGAAAGCAAGCAATATACACAATGACGTTGTTGTTGTTGTTGTAACTGTTGTTATTGTTGTTGTTGTTGAGTCAAAATGTTGTTCACTCTTCAGGACCCCATTTGGAGTTTTCTTGGCAAAGATACTGCAGTAGTTTGCCATTTCCTTCTCCAGCTCATTTTCAGATGAGGAAACTGAGGCAAACAGGGTGAAGTGACTTGCCCAGGGTCACACAGCTTGCAAGTACCTGAGGCCAAATTTGAACTCAGGAAGATGAGTCTTCCAGGCCTGGCACTTTATCCACTGTGCTGACTAGTGCAACAAGGTGGAGAAGAACCAAAAATGGGAAACTAAATGCTGCGTAATGATCATAACCCAGAAGGGCCTTGAAAAGAAATGAGAAAATGCACCTCCCTCCCTTCTCTGTAGAGGTGGGGGTGGGGAGTAATAGGTACACAGCATTGCATGTGCTGTTAGATTTGGTTGATGGTGTTGGTTAGTACGACTGAACTATTTTTCCCTTTGAAAATGATTCAAGAATGTAGTAGTAGTAGTAGTAGTAGTAATAACAATAATTATAATGCATGTGCAAATTTACATGACATTACTATAAATTTAGCCCTTGCTGGAAAGGAAATGGAGAGGGGTACATTCAGAAGTCAATGTTATATACAAGCAAAAGATATCTAAAAACATCATTTTAAAAATCATATTTTTACTATGTTGTTTTAAATTTATAGGTTAAAAAGGGAACTGTTCACGCTGGATTAAAAAATAGCAATTACACTATTTATTGCTTGAGTTGAAAGAAAAAAGATGATGTCAGCTTCAGTTGCACTAAGCACAGGTGACAGACAGTTAAAGGCAATGTTTTAACCTACTTTAAAAAAAAGAAATCTCTCCCTCACCATTATTCTCAACTGTAAGATCTTTTCAAAGGTTACTCATTCCCTTATGCACAGCTTCTGCCTTTTATTAAGGGCAATTAGAAAGGCTGGTTGGCCAAATGGATTCTGTAAAATGAGAGACATAAAAGGCATGGTCTCTAATGTACCTTTGAGCCCTGACATTCAATGCCTAGAAAAAAAAAAATTCTGATGAAAAGCATGGTTAGTGGAGTGTCTTTCAGAGATTGGCATCACACTGCTTATTTTCTAATTCTTTCCGAAAAGCCAGCTATAGAGGTTTCCTAACATTTGCAGACAATGATTAGTGAAGTGTCCTTAAACAAATCCTAGAGTCCTTCCTGTGCCTCAATTTTACCATTTATAAAATGAGGGAAAAAAATAAACAGTAATAAGGACTATTCTGGGAATGGCTAAGTAAATAGTGATGATGAGCACTTCCATGGATGTAAGAACCTATATTAACACCAATTTTCTCCATTCTGGCCCTTCCCAGTAAATCTCACAGGGGCAATTTTGCTTTCAGTTTCTTCCCTAATAGAATCTTACAAATTGATGGTAACCTCAGGTGAATTAGCATGTCTGTTGTTTCTGAGATTCTTGTGTTATTTTCAGGGCACTCTTCAACTCTACAGATTTGTTCATAAGCAACAGTTAAAATAAGACATTTCTCCATTTCTTTCACAGCAAATATTGAGAGTATATTGCCTAACGTGTGGGCTACAGGTCAGACAATTTTAAGGAAAATAGTCAAGTTTATAGCTGAAGTCTCTTGAATCACTTAAAACAAGACACCAAGTGTTGACTTTCCTAACTTAGAGCTAATTGCTCCACTGGTGTCCTCTAGTTTGTTCCAGGTATGCAGTGAATCCTGGGTTTCCGAAGGCTGTGTTAGCAAAGCATAAACTCCAGAAGGCCCCTGTAGTTGAGTCATTTCAGCCTTGTCCAACTCTCCATGACCCCATTTGGGGTTTTCTTGGCAAAGATACTGGAGTGGTTTGTCATTTCCTTCTCCAGCTCATTTTACAGGTAAAGAAACTGAGGCAAACAGGGTGAAGTGACTTGCCCAGGATCATACAGCTAGTAAGTGTCTGAGGCTGGATTTGAACTTAGATCCTCTGACTCCAGGCCTGGCAATCTATCCACTGCTCCACTTAACTGCCCCTAGGAACCCTACCAAGTGGGAAAATCCTTGAGAATAGGACCAGTGACATACTGCATCTGTTTTCTGAGGACAGGCCTAGCTGAGTTTGTGAAGAGCTGATCGGTCACAGCAACTCTCCAGTGACCCCCATCTACAGATATACAGAGACGTCTGAGCAATGAAAAATTCTTGAAATACTAAACTATGATAAACAGTACAAAGAGCTGACATTTACACATCATTTTAAGGTTTGCAAAATATTTTATGTATATTATATTTCATTTGATACAACTCTACAAGGTAAGTACTTTTTGGGGGGCATGAGGGGGAGGAATTGAGGTTGGTGATTTCATTGGTGCCCATGCTTAGAAGATCAGTAATCCCTCTACAATTTAGAACTTTGGAAAGTTGATTGGAGCCCAGAGAGGTTAAGGGTGAATAAGTATGAGAGGTGGGATTTTAACCTAGGTCTCTTCTGATTCCCAAGTCCAGTGCTCTTTGCCTTATAACAGATCATCTCAGGAGGACTTGTAGAAGGAATCAGATGAAAAACTCATTAAGACGAAAAGGCAAGGATAGATTGCAATCTGGAGGAAATATCACCAATGAGCTGATGGATCTATCAAACTATGATTAAAAGTGGAAAAACAGGCATTAAGAGAATACAACTTTTAAAAACTTGCCTCTGAGGCAGGTCTTCTTAAAAAGCTGAATGATCAGAATTTTGAATTTTTTTGAATTATTTTTAACCTTTAATTTTATTTTAACCTGTATCCTTCCTTTTATTTCTCTTTCTAACCAGAGCAGTGGTTGAAAATAAACTAGGAGTTTTATGAAGAAGAAATGTAAAGAAATAAATTTTGCCTCTCATCAACTCTTGTCCTAATTACAAATATAGACAAAAGTAGGAGAGGTAGTTTATTATAAACTGCCAGTACAGGGACTCAGGTTTCAGAGGGCCAAGAGAAGTCACTGCACTCCTCATCTGTATAGTCTGAGAACATCACTACTTTCAGTCTCCCTCCTAAATCCTCCTCCAACATACTGTTTATTCATAACTCAGGTTCGCCTGTCTTTATTCCCATTCTTCCAAACTGTCACAGAGCTGTTGTGTAAGTCAAATGAGAAAACAGATGTCAAGGACCTATAAAATGCTATGAAGATGTGAGGTGATATCATCAGTCATCATAGTAAAGGTAGGAATGTTAAGTCCATCAAATAAAAGTTAAAAACAAAAAAAAACCCAAAAAAACAAAAACTCTCCATATCTAAAGGGCCATTAGGATGGTATTTAACCTTTTGGAGAAAGCCAAAATCCTAATCATATTGCAGACCAGAAGACACTATTGGTAGGTACAACAACAGGAGAATAAGGTGAGAAAGACCTCAGGGACCAGAGCATGGGGGGGGGGTGGAAAAGAAGCAACAACATCCAGCAGCCACCTCACTGGGGCTTCCCCAGGCAAAACCCTGGTGAGTCACCTCCTAGGTTCCTATTGCTTCTGTTACAAGAGAAGGTCCATGGATCCTAGCTACCTCATCCAGTTCTGCCTTCAGTAGCCAGGCTTGGCAAAGATTCTTTTCAATTCAACAGATATTAGCTAAGTGTGCTTTTACCAGGCCCCTTCTTCAGAGCCGGCCTTGTGGAGTGTAAAGGACAATGCCCCGGCCCAAATGTCAGAAGAGATGAGTTACAGGCCCAGCTGTCCACTGCATGGCTTTGGTGAAATTGTTCCACATCTCTCTGTGCCTCAGCTGACTCATCAGTAAAACTGAGGATAAAAATATCTGTCTCCCCTGGTTGCTTCAAGGATGACTGTGTGTCTAAAAGCACTTAAGAGGTGAAAGTACTCTAGAAAAGACAAGGTACTACGGCATGATGTCCATATAGACAATCACCCTAACGTCTCCCTGGCCATCCTGCTTGGGTCTCTATTACCATGACTCCTCATAATGGCCCCTCCTCCTGCTAGGGCATGTTGTATGTGTAAGGTGCAGATACAAGTAGAGGACCCAGTGGATAGTGTATCACGCTCTGGTCTGTTTCAGGTGAGGGAGGGTGCAAACCAAATCTCCCGGTCCTTCCTCAGCCTCGCTGCGCCCAGCAGGGCTGACTGCGTCAGGTGACCTTCGCAATGGCCCTCCTTTCCACCCCTGCCAGGGCCTGACACCAGACACTGGCGCACCCGGAAGGATGAGGATGGTATCCCTCAAACGCGAGCTCGCGCTAGGGCGCCCCTCTCCCCTCTCTCTTCCAGGGCTTTGCTGATGTGGTCAGAAAAGGTCTTCCTGGTATTTGGAGATGCAACAGATGGGGGTGGGGGAGGCTACCTCGGGGCACCTAGAGAACGCTGGATCATCGGGAGGGGTGAGAAAACCCTCAAGAACAGGGGAAGGCGGCAGCAGGGGAAGAAAGAGAAACAAGGAGCCAGGGAAGAGCTGCTGCCCTGCAGAATCCCCAGCCGGAGGGTGGCGGAGCCAGGGGCCAGGAGCGGAGAGGAGCGAGAAGCAGCCAGGTGGGGAGGAGAGAGGGGAAGCAGCAACAGGAGGCGGCGTGGATGCCCCGGCGGGGGGACGCGCCCTCTTCCCCAGCCCCGTCCCGTCCCCCGGGCTCTCGGCGCACTCACCACTACATGGGCCCCGGGCAGGGCGAGGGGCTTGGGGCTGATGAGCGGAGAGACCATGTAGAGCAGCAGCACGAACGCTACGATGAAGGCGGCCGCCAGCAGCAGCATCGCGCTGGCCGCGGCCGCGGGCTCGGGGGGCCGCAGCTGCGCAGGGGACCGGCGGGGCTGGGGGGCCCGGGGGGTGGCCGGCGGGGCTGGGGGGACCCGGGGGTGGGGGCCGAGCGGGGCGCCTACGACAGGAACCGGGAGTGTTTGGGTTAGCCACCGAGGCTGGCAGGGATGGGAGTAGGACGGGAAGAGGAGGAGCCCGGGGAGGAGGCGCGGCCAGGGCCCGGGCGGGGGCTTCCCGGCGTGGAGCGGAGTGGGAGAGCGGCCCCTGGAGGACATCGCAGCCCCGAGGCTCCCGCGCAGCCCCCGCAACCCCCGCTGCCCCTACGCCTTCGGCCCGGGGCTGGCCACGGCCACGGTCACGGCCCAGCCGCGGCCATCCAGAAGCAGGCTTTTGTTTCCTAAGCCTCTACTAGATTGTGGGAGGGTCTCCTTTGTTGGTTGATTTGATACTTGCTTGATGACCGAATAATAATTTAATTATTCAAAATAATTCAGTTATTCCCAAAGTGGCAGGGGTAGGCTTTTTTTTTTTTTTTTTTTTTTTGCACAAGGCAATCAGGGTTAAGTGGCTTGCCCAGGGTCACCCATCTAGTAAGTGTCCGAGGTCACGTTTGAACTCAGGTGTTCCTGACCCAGGTCCAGTGCTCTATCCACTGCGCCACCTAGCTGCCCCTAGTGTGGACATTTTTGCTGCGGCCTCTCTACTTGTTGAGGAGGTCCAAGCCCTCGGGCTCACTCGAGCCTCCCAAGGGCTGGGCCCTGGGCGCCAAGAGCCCCTTCCTGTAGGAGTAAACCCTTTCTCCTTACTATTTACCAGTAGTTCTTTTTGGTGGGGACACCAGGACCATGCATAAATTAAAAAATAAAGTGAATTGGACCAAGTTTCAATCTCTTCCATAAATGTTTATTTTATACTAGAAGTGCTAATAAAATGAATGCGATTAGAGTCTTATCCTTCTTTTAACTTTTTTTTTTTTATCGATTAGAGGTGTAATAGATAAAAGAATGACGTTTAAGTCAAGCAAACCAGGGTTCAAGTCTAGGCCCTGACTCATACACTGGCTGGTTAGGCCAGTCACTTAATCTCTTTTTTGCTCTCTAGGCACTTGTCCTCATCCCAGAGTTCCCTGTTTCAATGAGATCCCTGATCCCTATTTTAATCCACACAGAAATAAATTATTCAATGCCATTTGTTTGAATTTAAATAACAATTGTCAGCAGGGACTCAAAGGAAAAATGGATTTTCCACAAGGGTTACTTAGAAGAAATGAAAGAGACAAAAAATGAAATAAATCTCTGGATGAAAGAATGGAACAGAGAATAAAAAGCTTAGAAGAGAAAGTGGAAAACCTTACAGAAGAAACTGACTCCCTAAAAACATATTAATGGAACCAAACCAGTCTCTAACCAATGGATGGCCTTAGGGGAACAGAGCAGCCTAGAGACAGGAGAGTCAGGAACCAAACAGAAGTTTAATATCAAAATAAGGGAAACAGCTTGTAAGCAAGGACACACATGCCCCAGCCTACCCCTAGTGGGGGACCCGAGGCAGTATGTGGAGATCTCAGTACTTATACCAATGAGTACAAAGTGAGCTGTAGTCCTGACAATGAGGGGTAACAGCAACAATGAGACAAGTTTGATTCATAGCAGGGCTTCATGACTGGAATATGGGTACTTGTCCAAGCTTAGAGAACACCTAGTGCTGGTCAAAGCAATACAATAATTATATGGTTTTGCCAGAGGGTTAGATCATCCAGAGGGTGAGCACAAAGAATTGTTATTATGCCAAGCTTAGGGCACAGCTTGCTTGCTGGGCCTTAGCTCTGCAAGAAGGGTGTCTCCTAATATTTTGACATAGAATGGCCCAAGCAAAAATCAGTGACTCCAAGAGACAGCAAGAAATATTAAAACGAAATCAAAAGAGTGAGGGAAAAAATAGACAAAAAAAAAAAAGCAAGATCTGATATAGAAAACAGGTCAATGTGAGATCGTTTGAGAACACTGGACTCCCTGAAAACCATGATTAAGAAAAAAAATTTAAAAGCTTGGACACTATATGTCAAAAATAGTAAGTGAAACTTTCTAGAGATATTAGAACCAGAGGGTAAAATAAAGCTGGAAAGGAACCCTCTCATCACTCTCTGGAAGGATTTTCAAAAGAATTCTAGGAATGTCAGTCAAAATCCAAAGCTCTCACATCAAAGAAAAAGTATTGCAAGCCTCAAAAAAAAAAAAAGGCAATAAAAGTACCAAAGAATTATACAAGACCTGGCACTAAAACAATAGGTAATCTTAGAATACAATATTCCAAAATACATACGCAAAATGCAAAGCTTTGTATAATCCTACAAGGAAAGGAAATTAAAAACTGATTTTTAATTCTATTTTGTCAAGACTTATTAAGCTACATTTATTATTTCCCCTTGATGTTCTTTACTCTTGAAAGTTTACTCAGGTAACCTCAGGTCACTTGGGTCACAACTCTACTCTTATAACTTGTAACTACATACAGCCTTACATTGTGGCTTATACACTCGTATTTGTAACTCGACTTTCCAGAGAAATTTGATTAACCTAAAGGTCAATCTCATCAATCTAAACAGTTGTATTAAAAGTCAATTGTGTTAAAACTGTTGTAGCAATTCCCATAAGGACAGCTAGGTGGCACAATGGATAGGATGCCAGGCCTGGAGTCAGGAAGACTCATCTTGAGATCAAATCTGGTCTCAGACATTTACTTGCTGTGTGAGTCTGGACAAGTCATTTAACCCTGTTTGCCTCAATTTCCTCCTGTGTAAAATGAGCTAGAGAAGGAAATGGCACACCACTGCAGTATCTTTGTCGAGAAATCCCCAAATGGAGTCATAAAGACCATGACATGACTGAAAATGATTGAAGAACAGCAACTCCCATTACTTGCAGACTAATCACCCGGAGATTATTCCCATCACCTGAGAACTGGTCTCATCTCCCAATGATGTAATGGGGAGGAGCTGAGATGACACTTATCCCACTTCTGCATTGAAATGTCTAGCTGGGTGGGGAACCTTTGTCCTTGAAGCCACATGTGGCCTTCTAGGTCCTTGAGTGCAGCCTTTGGACTAAGTTCAAGTTTTACAGAACAAATCCTTTTATTAGGGGGATTTGATTTGTGAAGTTTGGATTCAAAGGGCTGCACTTGAGGACCTAGAGGGCCACATGTGGTTTCAAAGACAAAGGTTCCCTTGGTCTAGCCAATCAGAGGAAGACACACCTATGTTTGCTGGAGATTTTGCTCTGTCAATATAAAAGAGCCTATCATCCCTAACTGGAGGTCTTTGGTCATTGAGAGAAGCCATTGACCCCATTTATTGGAGATCATTATCCTTATTAATAAATAGATTGTGCTCAGAACTTTGTCTCTCAGAATTTCTATCATGACAGAGGAAAAATAGATCTTTAATGCAATAGAAGACTTTTAAGCATTTCTGAAGAAAAGATTAGAGCTGAGTAGGTACTCTGAAATACAAACACAAGAGTACAGAGAAACCTAGGAAGGTAAATTTATTTGAGCAACTGGAAGGAGCTATGTAATGATGTAGTGCTAACATTCTAATACAGAGGAAAGAAATTTGTCCCTTTAGAACCTTCATGCTGTCAAAGGGTAATGAAGGAGTTAAAAGAAAAACAGACTCCCAGAGGATGGGGTGGATTGAGTCTATTCAGAGGGCTTAAAGAGGAAAAAGAGAAAAGAAGATATAAGGAATATATTACTGAAGAAAAGAGAAAGAAGGGAGTAGAAGCTGCTACTTCTCATAAATGGGGTGCCTGAGGAGAATAAACAAACTTGGAAGAAGGTGTTGGAGGAGTAGACATTAGATGAACCTCATTCTTAAATGAAATGGACAAAGAAGGGTCAAATGCACAAACACATGCACATACATACACACAGTTTGGTGTAAAAATACCTCAAACTCAACAGGCAAACAAATGGGGGAGGGGGTAAGAGGAAGGATAATACTCGGGAGGAAATAGTTATGAACAAAACAAATTTCCAGATCTTGCAGGGGAGTTTAAAAGGGAGGAAAAAGGAAAACAAAGAGCTAGAATCTAAGGGGATGGCTTAAACAATGGGGAAATGGCTGAACAAATTGATCCCACTCCAGGCAGACACCCTCTCCAGCCCACAGTTTTATAGTTTTTGCCTTGCTCTACCCCATCCAACTTCCAGCCACAAACAGTGGCCCGACACCCTGGGACAACTCTACCTAAGGATGAACCCCTGTGGACAATTATAACTTATTTCAACATTTTCCTGAATGATTAACATATTTCTACTCCATCATACTCACCCCAACCCAGTAGTTCTGAACTTCTGGGGATTGCTATTGTTCATGTCCTGGTCTCCATCTCCCACTGACTACTCCTTTATTGCCATCCCCCTCAACACAACTGCCTTCCCCCCATCTCCAACTTGAAAACCACCCAACCCTTCCACTCTACTCACCGGAGTGCTTGCTCCATTGGTAAAAACTAAATTTAATCTCAAACTTTTGCTTCCTCCTTCTGTCTTTTTTAACTCACTGAGATCTGGCTCCATCTTGATGATACAGTTTCTGGCTACCCATTCCAGCACCAGCTGGATTTCACTCGTACTTGGCATTTAATCAAGGTAGGAGAGTTGAATTACTCCTTGCTCCCCACTGCTGCTTTCCTATTCTCCCTTTATCACCATCAATCAGTAATCTATCCTCTTTTGAAATTCATTCAATCCATAGTTATCATCCAATAAAGATTTTGATAGCTCGACTATCAACCTCAAGGACACTCTCCTTTCTTCCTCAAATAGTTCTAAGTCTGGTTCACAGTCCTTCTCTCTTGTCCAACTCCTGCTCTCATGCTAGGGGGTTGCATCATATAAATACTCCCTAAAATACTTTTGAGGCAGCTAGGTGGCTCAGTGGATAGAGAACTGGGCCTGGAGTCAGGAAGATCTGAGTTGAAATCCAACCTCAGACA